CAAAATGTAAGTATATATCAGAGCGTTTCCTCTGTCCAGTTCTTCTTGAAAGATTTGTGAGTTTGATGTCTAGCCCATAATAGAAGCGCAATGACGTTCCACTATCATGCCCACAACATCCATATTTACATTTCACCAACTGAGCAAGAGGTATCTCAGACTGAGCAACCTTTTCCATCAATAAGAGCAAAATATGTGGATCTCCAACTTGGCGTATCATAGTGTCGTATAAATTGTGAATAATCCGATGGGAATGTCTTCATCCACCAATAGATGGATGCAATCCGAAATTGCGACTACATATTTTGGACAAAACACCTCCATTACGGCACTCAATTTATTTAATAGAATAATTTGATTCTCTTGTTGATGGGTTGCGTCTGAACAGAACTCATCATTTTGCTTACTCAATGAAGGGGTCAGAAACATGTCTGCCCCAATTGCAACTTGGTTTGTGAGTGGTAATGTTTTGGCTTCGGGACTGAATTTACCAAATCACGCAATTCAAATCACCTTCAATTAGGAGGATCTACTTGAAACACAACGTATCCTGTTCGGATCTTCTGTGCTCTGTCCCAATTGTTGAACGTGATGTCAATTTCTTCACCAATTCACTCTCCAGTATCCTATGATGATTGCGTGAAGTGACTTTTAGTTGTGAGGTTAAGTGAAGGTGACCTCAGAGCACAATGGAAATCAAGTCTTCCTGTCAATATTCTACAAGAACTCCATGTGGGTTCTATTTGAACTGTGTTGAAAACAAGCCTAACTAGAACCTGGTAACTGGCTACCCATCCTTAGATATTTGTGAATCTCTTACACCCCACTCTGCATTTCCTATATGCATCATGTTTCAAAAACATGAGGTTTCACATCACGTCGCAAATCAATTTTCTTACCAAATGCATTATTTCGATTTCAATTCGAATGCCAATGAATACCTAGTGTTGTTAACGTATTTTCATTGTTGTCAATTGCCTAATTGGCATTAGAGTTTGCAGTAGGTGCATCTTGTTCCAATGAGTTCTATTCAGCCAACACCACTTACAAACCGTTGGTAACCTCTCTAATGAGTGTACAATAAGATATCTGTGATCATATCCATTTTACACTTTCCAAACTTTGGTATTCTGAATTGGTGGGTTCTAACCAATACCGAAATGTAAAAGTGCTTCCAGTCAAAACCATTTTCTACGCGAGCGATCAATTTGGGGATAAGTGGCATTGTTGTGGAGGTCTTTCAATCGGAACTGCTAGTTCGTGTAATTTGTGGCAAATAATTGAGTGAAGAATGTCACAACGAGCAGATTTGGAAGGGTTGGCGAAAAGAAGATAGAGGGAGAGAGACAGAATATATGCCCAACTTGATTGGCTGGTCATCTTCCACACTGTTTATATTAGGACCGTGGAGGTGCCACTTAGTACCTTTCATACCCACTTCATGTCAAAGTTAGTTTATGTCTGTGGATCACATTTTAGAGCTGTGCAAATTGCCTGCGCAATGACACCCACTTTCATGGTCACAACTTCCATATTTACATTTCACGTACGCAAACGATTTGTTACCTTTGTTGCACACGTAACTGTTTGATAAATGAAGTCTACTCTTGAATTCGAGATACTGACTATATGTCTCAAATTACACTGACTAACTGTTCCGATTGATTGGCCTCTATACCAATGCCACTTATTCCCAAATTGATCGCTCACGTTGAAGTTGTGTTGAATTAGAAGCATGTTTTCATATTTGTATTTGTCATAGTCCAACCTTTCGCTGGCCATATATTCCTTCATCTTGCAAGCTACTTCATCATCATGTTCTTCAATCCATTGGAACCTTCTCGAATCACCACATATTTCCTCCTCTTTTTCAGACCCCAAGTTGTTCATTTGGAGTTTTTTGCAAACGCGACATTAGTAGGACACTGATTAAGCAGAGTAACCTTGTTCAACGACCACACAGCACACTAATTGCGGATAAGAGGCTTTTTGCCTAATAGAAGTTGCAACGACGACCATGGGGATTTCTCTTCCCTCTCGCCTATTTCATCACCAGTCTGTGAGTTTGAGCATCTCAACCCCCAATCTTACTACACTTGTACAATTCGTGTCGTAATATCTGTGCAAGCAGCAATGCTAGAGTTCAGGCAAGAGATCGAAAAAACACTAAATTAACAAAACCGCCAATTTGGAAAATTGATTATGGCAATTAAGCTGTTTAAAATTGAATACGTTTGACCAAACTAAAGAAGGCGTCCATTTACGCGTCTTCAATGCAACGAGAACTTGTGTTCACAACTGAATATAAAACATATCAGACCCCATATGTGAAATCCAAGTTGATGTATTACAATTAATTACACCCTTCTTAGACGTTTAAAATATACCATCTGCAAGAAAAATTGAAAAAAAACTCTTTTTGATGAAGGCAAATTCAACAACAAATTATCAAATTTATCAATTGAAGCTCACACTATGCAGGGTTTGGGGAATATAGAATCAGATAACGCTTGAAAGGCGTGTATATAATGAATTTTATATGATGTGAATCGACGAGGGGGGTGGGGGGGGATGGGGGTTCAGTAGCGTAGTCAGTTGGGTACTTGCACCCAGAGAAGAATTATGTTACTACTACGCTTTTCCTAGACTGTGTTCATTTTCGCGATTAACTCAACATCCTTAGAGGAGGATTAGTCTTCTTCAACTTCAATAGTGTTCCCTACTTGTGGTTCAGTGTCTGCAGGTGGAGCAATTTGAAAAGCAACGAAAGATAGGATAGGGGTAAAAATGAGAAGAATGAGAATCCAGCTGGCTCTACCTGTCATCATCTGAAAAAGGGTGAATGTGCAAAAGCTTATCAATCCCTTTTATACCAACGCGATATTCCGATTGTTTATATCTGTGTGTGCTTGTGGTGGTAGCCATTTATAGACTGATAAACAGGACGACCAGTTTAACTAATTTAAGGACGATCGCCAAAAGATATCAGATTGTACACCCATTAGAGAGGTTGCTAATGGTTTTGACGAAGAACAGATGTCTAAAAAGGGAATATTAGAGTGTGAGTAAAACGAGATGAATGGCATACCCTCAAAGACGATTGTAGATATCACAGTTTTTCATTTACCTAACGGAGGCTATTTCTGCTCAGTTGGTGAAGTGTAAATATGGAAGTTTTGGGCATGAGAGTGGGTGTCATTGGGCAGCCAGTTAGCACAGCTCTATAAAGTGAACCACCATTTTGATTGCACTCACATAAGTAATCGCATAGTTGAAGTGGGTATAAAAGGCACTAAGTAGTACCTCCACAATCGAAATGCAAACAGTGAGGATGATGACAGGCCAAACTAGTTGGATGCTTCTTGTGCTTCTCTCCTTCTTCCTCCTCTCCACCAACCTCTCCCAAGCTGCCCCCATCGAACACGCCAATGATGAGGTCAAGGCGATCGACAAAGATGCGATCCCTTTGTCCGAAGATGTCGAAGTATTGACCAAAGTTCCTGTTGAAGATGGCGATGAGCTTCTCAATGAGCTGGTTCCGGCTAGACCAACTCGACGCATAATAGGACGAGTTCGTGTCATTATTATCAGAATTCGAAAGAAAAATTGATCTCAACTCTCGCCCCACATCCCACCCCCACCTCCCACAATCAATCTTGTCCCAATTACTCAACTCACTCACCTTGTGTCTTTCTTTATTCATTTGTACTCATTCGCCTTAACCTTAATTTAATCAAATATCCTGATCGAAATTGGCCGGCGTTTCAAATTCT